AGAATCCAACACTCCCCTCTGGTGGCAGCTCAGCCCCGTGCCTGCGTCCCCAGAGCTGCCACCCACCACCGGCCATTCCTGGGGACCACGGCGGGGGGCGACGAGGAAGAGGAGGAAGAGGAGGAGGAGGAGGAGGAATGAAGATGCACAGGGTCGTTCTGCACTTTGCTGCCCAGCGCGGGCAGGAGGCGTCCCTGGGTGAAGCCCAACTGCTGGGGCCACTCCGAATAGCAGAAGCCTCATCCCAGGCCAGCTGGGCCCAGCGTCCCCCGCCGGGGCTCCCCCAAGGCTCCTGCTATGACCAGCAGCCGAGAGGAGATAAAAGCCGTCTCCTGCCGCCTGCGGCGCGCAGGACGTGCTGCCATCTCACGTAGCACAGGAGATAATTTATGAACATCACGCAAACGACCGCTGACATGACTGGCTCTTCATGTGTTAACTGGGCAGAGGAGCGTGCTGCGAGAGCCAGAGGAGGCAGGAGGCAGCTGCAGATTCCCCCCCATTCCCCCCCGTTTATCCCTGCGCCCTGGTCGGTGGCCGCTTCCCACAGCTCACGGCACCGTCCCTGCAGCCAGCGCTGAGCCCGTGCACCCCTGCCTGGCCCTCCGAGAGGAGCAGCAATAAATAAAACCTCCCAGCCGACTATCAGATTTTTCCTCCCTTGGGAGACAAAGGACTGTTTTCCTCTCCTGAGAGCCTGCAGCTCTGCACAGCATTCAGGAGAAATGATTAATGGGTGCAAACCTTCCGCGCGGTGACTGCTCCTGCTTGCGCCTATAACTTTGCTATTGATTACATGTCATGTTGCCTGGCTTTTAATTATTTTTAAATTATTTTTTAATGGATTGGTCAGAGGCTAATTACAGAGGAGGCTGACAGCAAAATGCATCAGCAGAGGGGACTGAGATCTCCACCACCCGTAGCCCTCGTGCCAGGGCGTGCGGCGGGAGCACCGCGGCAGCTCGGCCCTCGGCTTGCAGGGAGCCTCGGGAGCATCTGAGCCACCGCAGCCTGTGCCGTGAGTCTGCCATGATGGAAACAGATAAACACTTGGAAGGTTCATTATAACCTGCCAGAGCCTTTAGTCAGTGTAAATAACGTGCCATGAAGCTGCGTTGCCTCAACAGCACTGGCTCATGGCGGGAGGCTGCGGGTTGCCTGCGGGCACACAGGGCCCAGCCCCAGAGGCCCAGGGATGCTCCTCACCTCCTTCCATGCCGTGCTTGGCTGCTGGCACGGGCACGTTCGAGCACTCGAAGTACTCCAGGTCATCTTCTGGCTCAGTTTTCTTCTCCAGCCCAGCCGGTTTCTGCGTGGAGGTGGTGGAGGCCAGCTTCTCCTCGTCCGTGGCACGTCCATCCCGATTTGCAATGTCTGGGATTTCGGAGATCAACGCTCCCTCATCCTGCGGGATCCAGGAATGGGGTTAGGTGGGACTGAGCTAACCCAGCCAGGCCGCCGGATGGCCTGTGGAGAGCAGGAGGAGGCTCAGCATCACTCCCAAGCTGCTCCCCAGCAGCTCCTCAGCAGGATTTGGCAGAGGGAAACACATCATGCTGGGAAAATAAGTGATTTTGGGGAACCAGCCCTTGGGGCAGATGCTGCTGCAGGCACGGGCCAGCCCAGCTCTCCCCAGGCTGCTGTCCCAGCCACCCAACACCCCGCCAGCAGCTCCCGGGGTCGCATCCCACATACCTGAGCGCAGACGTCCAGGGCCAGGGGCTGCGTCTCGTACGGCTTCACCTTGCAGCCGCTCCTGCGGAGGAGAGAGAAGCGGCCGGCTGAGGCAGGGGCTCGCGGGGGCTGCATGGGGAGGGGGCAGGGGCGCGTGCGAGACAGCCCAAGCAAGGGGAGGCAGCCCCAGCGCGAGCATTGCACCCCGCCGCGTGCCAGCAACCCCACTCACCAGTGAAATATCGAGGCAGAGCAAGTTCTGGAGCGAACAGGAGGAACAAGCGAACAAATCAGACACTACAGAACAACAGGGTTTGTGTTGGAGTGTTTATTCCTGTTGACAGTGGGGAGAAAGAGCCCCGGGGGGGGCAATCGCCAAGAAAGGTTCCCCTTGCTGCGCCCTCGCCCCATGCGCCCAGGACATCCCCGGGTTGCAGCGGATGATGAATTTCTGCAGGAAGGAGCCACTTCCCAGCCGTCTCAGGCCTGTCCCCGCAGCTGGAGGTTTGTCCGGGACGTCACCGCAGGCTCCGCGTGTGTCCCACGGGGCAGGGACCGAGGGCTGCTGGTCAGAGAGCTCTGCCTGGGGGGGCACCGGCTGCAGACGCTGCCCCAGGGAGAAGCCTCGCCCGTGGGGGGAGTTTAGCTCAGGCTGATCTTGCAGGTGGTCCTGTGGCTGGACGTGAGGAAGCTCTCCCTGAATTTCCTCCTGCGTTCCTCCAAAGGTGCCATCCCGGAGCCGCTGCGTGCAGGGCGGCAGGCACGGCCCGTCTGACCCTCCGGCACCCGCAGCTCGACGTGGCCTGAGGCAGCGGAGGGACAAGTCCCGGGGGGAGCGGCCACACGTGGCACAGGGTCTGTGACGGGGTGACGCGGGTCCCCTCCCGCATCTCGCCGCCCTCTCGCTCCGTGTTTACCCGTTTCCCACGGGTCGCTGCCCTGCCCGAACCCACCAGAGCACAGAGCCTCGCTCAGCCGGGGCAGCCCGCGGGACTGCCGGTTCCTGGGGAGGGATCTCTGCCTCCAGACTCGGCGCTCCCCACCGCGGGGATGGGCAGGGGCCCGACACTGCAGCCAGCAGTCCCTAGGTTTAAAGAATCGCCCGCACCCACCTCACCCTCCAGCCCCTCTGTCCCATCACACGACGCGTGGATGTTTTATCTGCACACGATCACACACACCTGGGTCGGACTGAAAAATCGCTCTTGGCTGTTTTTCCCCCTCGTGTTAAACCTCAGCTCGCTGTGTCCTACCCACCTTTGCTCTGCACCACCCCTGGGGCTGGGGTCACCTGGTAGCCGTTTTGATGTCCCCCCCTACCCCACACCAAGGTAACAGCTCCCTAATCGAAGGGGACAGGGAAACGGGGAGAAGACAGCGCAGGCCGATGGCCCCAGCTCTGCCCCGTGAGGATCACACAGAGATCAGGAGCTGAGCCCAGCACGCACCTTCCTCCCACCCTCCCTACGCGAGGGCAGAGCCCAGACAAGCCCAGATGGTCCTGGGGGAGTGTGACAACCTGCGAGAGACACCGAGCATGGCCGGGAGACTAAACGGGGGTGACTCCGGTCCCTCCTGCGTCCCTCCCCGAGGGCAGCAGCCAGCCCGGGGGCGCAGGGCACGGGGCACTCGATATTTCACTGGCGTCCCCCCGCGGGGCTGCTCGGGCCGGGGTTCAGCAGCGCAGGTCGCAGGGCAGCGGACAAAGCAGTTTCACTGGAGCTGTGTGTTCTGACCCATCCAGGATCTCATGGAGCAGCTCCACGCCCTGGCTTTGGGCACCAGAGGGATGCTCGAGGGGAGAGCCATGAGCAAACCAGCTCTGGCAGCCACCAAAGATCGGAAGAGCCCTGTCTGGAGCCGGCTGGGAGGGCAAAGCTCCCCTGGCCTGGCAGCCTCTGACTCCCAGCTGATTCCTTCCGCCCTACAGCAGCGGCCTCCCTGGGGGTTTTATGTGGGGAGGGGGCATAAGTCACTCTCATCTCCAGGACTAAAATCTACCCGTCTTTGCAGGGACCTGGCTTGCCCAGGAGCCTGCTCCCCCCCTCTGTAGGTGACGTGTGGGTTTCGAGTGCTTGTACATCATCAACAGGCGCTGCGAGTCGGCATGCTGCGAGAGCCAGCTCTCCGCTCCCCAGGCCCTGGCCAGGCTAAGCTGCCCCGGGGGGACCCCGGAGCTGCGGGGCACAAATCAGACAGCGGAGAGCACGAGTCGAAGGGCAAGGAGGAGCCTGCATGCCATGGAGACAAGTGGGGCCAGCACACACCCAGAGAGAGAGGACAAAAACCAGCAGAGGAAAAGAAGAAAGAAATACAGAAGAGAGTACTTACAACAGAAAACAGAGAAATTTCACTTGTTCAGTAGTCCTGATGCACCAAAGCATGGACAGGGAGAGAGACAGACAGATGGAGAGAAGAAGAACGTGTGAAAAGACCTGGATATTAACCCTCCGCTGGAGAAGCACAGCGAGTTGCCCAGCTCTGTCTTTTTGGAAGGAACACACAAATACAGGATGCCCTGATTCTGCATTCGCTGTTCGTGGCAGCAGGGTGAGATTCAACCGCAAATCCCGCTGCCGGGGAGGTGAGGGCCCAGGGCAGCCTCTGCTGCTCTGAGCTGATGGGGAGGGAGCCTGAAAACCCCCCGCTGCTCCCCCCCAGCGCAGCTCCTGCTCGCCCGCGGCCACACGCAGGAACAGTAACTTAAACAAACCCTTCTCAACTCTTTGCAAAGTATTTCTGAAAGAAAAACATCCAACGTACCGTTATTTTGGCCTGCTAGGTTTTATCTGCTCTCTCTGCAAAACCCCGCTCTAGTTTTCCCACCAAAGAATCCAGTAGCCAAGCGACGGCTTGTTTTGGTTTTACTGCCAAAGCAGCCACAGACTCTGCACTCCTAAAATTTCCCCTTTTAAGCTTATTTCTTGCTTTTGCTTTCAACTGGTTCCAATTACCCGTGTTAAGCGCAATCACAAATTATGGTGGAAGGACCCAAAATTGGCCGGGCAATTACTCCCTCGTGCAATATCCCCTCTGCTTCCCTCGGCCGCTCAGCGACCCTGGGGAGGGGGGGCAGGCAGAGCTAAGCCCGGCTCAGCAGCGGCTGTCTTAAACGTCAGGATGAGACTCCAGTGCTGCCCAGACACAGGCTGGAGGATGTTTCTGATACAACAGGTGAAATACCAAGAAAACAGGAGGGTTTAGCCACTAAACCTGTTCCCAGAGCAGGAGAGAACACTGTCTGCATTCCCTGGAGGCACTGTCAAACGCCACCATCTACACGGGGGTTTAAAGAGCAGGGTGCAGGAACTGAAAATGCACTGAAATAGTTCAGCAAGGGCCAGCAAGCTCCCCACCGCCTGTGCAGATGTGGTAAAGGCAACAAGCAATCTGCCTGTTCGCCCTCTATTCTCTTCCCCTGTTATAAAACGAGCGATTCAGTGGCAGCTCACAAAATGTCTTGGCAGCATCTGCTTAACCAGAACGGCACCCACACGCTCCTGAAGGATCCTGAAACCCTCGCACCTGCCTGGCAAACCCCATGGGCCCGAGCCTCCATTAGGGGTTTGCTCTGACTCCATGACCCTACAACGCCTGCACCCCGACCCCACGACCTGGAGCCCCCCGGGGGTTTCCAAAGAGGAGATCCTGCGGAGCGGGTCCTGATCCAGCCCTCCCCGGGACACCGGCACCACTCCAGCACACCCGTCCCTCTCCGCCCGTGCGCCTCTGAGCGACCGGGGTGCCGGCGGGGAGGGGGGACCTGCCCCTCCACTGGGATAAAACCTGGGCGGCAGCAGAACCCGGGGTGCTCGTCGGTATTTCAGGGAAAGCACCATCACCGTCACCGCTGCTGGGGGACGGCGGGGGCTGCCCCCGCTGCGCGCACGCCGGCACTCACGTTATCAGGCGCGACTTGGGCTTCTTCGGGGAGTCTCTGCCTTTCAGGAGATCATCCTGCACCTCCAGCGTCTGGGACTCGAGGATTTCATTGAGGCTGTTATCGGCGGTGGGGCAGGAGTCGGTGGCAGTGCTGGCGAGGGTCTTGGTGGGCTTAAACGGATCCACGGAGTCAAAGTTATCGGGGTCAAACTGGTACGAGCCCTTGGGGAGAGCCGGCGAGTTTTGCAGCGCTGAGCTGCCATCGAAGGGATTGAGACTTGGGCTGTCCCAGGACGCAGGACCCCGCCGGGGGGAGCCCCGGGGGGGCAGCGGCTCCGTGGGACCCCTCTCTGCCTCCTCAGCTGGTTTCCTGGGGGGCTCTCGGTGTCTCTTCGGCGTCAGCTTGCTGGCCGGGATCCTGCTGCCCTTCCTGGGTGTGGCCCTCCTGGCCTCCACGCTCTCGCCCCCCTCCGTAAAATCGACCTCAGGATTCGGGACCTGCCCTTGGGGCTCCGGGGCCGGGTCCCCCCGCAGCTCACCGGGGC